AAAAAAAAAAAAAAAAAAAAAAAAAAAAAACGAAGCAGGAAAACAGTTCAAATATGTAAATTACACTTTTATATTATGAAAAAAAAAAAAGGGGGGATTAATAAAAGGGGGAAAAGGGCACATTCTGCATTTGTGCACTTATACATGTTTTATAAAATTACACACGTGTGAATAAAAAAAAATCATGGATCTGTAAAAAACATCGATCTGCTTAAACAATTTTTTTGAATGCATATAGGTTCAGTTGCCAGTGGACACATATGAGGTATGGGCGCGCGTGGTACGCATGCGGGTGGTTGCGCATGTGCGTAGGTCCGTGGTGTGCGTGCGCCGCAAGTAAACGCGCATGCATGGGTGGACACAAGTATATACATATATATATACATACACACATACGTTTTATGGACATACATATATATATATTTACACTTGTGCGCCCTCCCCAACCCCTGAATGCACTCGTTGAAAAAAAACAAAAAGAAGAAAAACAAGGTGCGAAAAAATTTACTTAATGCAAAATTAATATCTATAAAGATTTCACACGGGGAGGGAGAAATGATGAAAAGAAACATAGAGGGGATAAACACTAATAATTTTTTTTTTTCGTTCTCACGCCGCTATCTTTTTTTTTTTTCCCTTTCTTTTCCCTTTTTTGTGCGCCGATCGATCGACCCATTTTTGCGTACTCCACTAGCACAAATGGGTCTCTTCAAGGTTAACTGTAGGCCGCGTGCATGTTTGAGCAGCACACACGGGCATGGCTCATCATGCGTATGGTTCAGGAGGGGACTCCGTTGGCATGTATGTTACAGCTGGCACGTTTAGTACATTTCGCGCATTTGGCTCACTTCCACCGCTTCAACCACATCACAATCACTTGGACAATTGTTGCTAACCCTTAGGGGGCTTTTCTCCCTTTCACAGTTCACACCTTTCCCTTCGAGCGCGAAAACAGGAAGCATGTTGTGGAGAAAACGCCTTAAGCAGATTGCGCCCACCCGCCAATACACGCGCTTGCTCACCGTCTGCAAGCGGCACGTATATTCATACTTACACGCGTCGCGGGATAAATCAGGAAGTCAGAGCCTCCTCATTGCTCTTAGCGCCATCTTCCTCATCTTCTTCATTGTCGTCAAACTCATTTGTATCAACATTGCTATTTTCATCATTGTATGCACTGTTGTTACTTTCGTAGCTGTTATAGTTGCTATTATTTTCGCTGCTACTGTAGCTGCTGTCCACATCACTTACTATGCTATTGCTTTCACTTTCAATTATAATGCCCAAGTAATAATCAACGGCATAAGGAATAATTCTTTCCTTAATGGTTAAGGCCACTTCATAATCTCCCTCAATAATCATCTCCAACTGGGCTACTTCATGTTTACTTAGTTGCTTTATAACATTTGAGTTAGGAACTTTATGGCTTGTAAAAAAATGAAAAAAGCTATCTCTGTTAACTGTTTGCTGTACTGTCTTTACTTCTCTTGAATTTTTGTTATGTTGTTTTTTAACGACATTTTTTTTCAAAATATTTTTATTGTCATACCAATCAATTACAGTCGCCTCCGTGTGTAACAACACTGGTTCATTGTCACAGTCTACACATTTCATATGATATGTTTTGGTCAACACGGAGTTGCTAAAAAACGGATTGGTCGCAAAGTGAAAGGATAAAATAAATCCTTCTTTTTTCTCCTTATTTTTTTTTATATAATCACATCGAATGTCATTTAAGTACACTAAAATTTCTTCATCGTGATCTTCTATAACATGGCTCACTGTGTTGTTGTTCCTCAATGCTCTTAACCAAAATTCAGGCAAATTTGGAGTACCAATTTTGGCTTCCCCATTGCCTACCAAAGCTTCTCTTCTCTTATCATAAATTGGCCCATACAAATCGTGGTACTTTTGCCTTAACAAAAATAATTCGTACTCAAACTTGGACTCGTAATCATAATACTCCTTTTGGTACAGTTTCAGTTTTTTTAGCGTTTCCTTCTGTTCCTCCGTCAGATCGGTCATCTTCTCATCATCTAAAGGGAGGGGGGGAAAAAATAAAATAAAAAAGGCGTTATAAACCTGTAACAATCAATACACCCTTCTGTTGTGTGTATATGGCGACAAGTACGTGGAGTCTGTTCCTGCACGAAGTTATCTCCACCAAATCACTTCATCACTTTCCGAGTACGCGTCCAATTGTACCTATTTTTATGCTTTCCAAAAGCGACGATATTTCCTTTTCCTCTTCGGGGGGGATTGGCTACAAAGTGTGCAAAAAAGAAAATATATTAACACGTCAGGTAAAAATATTAACCAGTTAGCTAATTTTCCGCTCAAAGGCAATTCCGCCTGAACAGGGCAGGCACTTTTCCGTGCATATTCATAACGTTGTAAAAAAAAAAAAAAAATCGAGCAACACGAAAAAGGGCTAATCTGCAGACAGGTGTACGTGCATGTCGACACGAGTAACATGGACAAATGCATCCCTACATAAACGTGCACATGTCATACGTCTGTTCTATCATCCCGATTGCAGTGTACACAAGAACAAATGGTTGAAGGGAAATTAAACAGTTTCACACGGACTGGAAAAGCTACCCACATACACATGATAACTGGGCATATCTTTCACAAAGAAAAGATACACCGCAACATTCGGAGAAACGCTTCTTCTCTTTAAATTTGTTAATTACCTGGTTACTCTCTGTGGTTGCCATTTTGTATGAGTGGTTTTTTGCTTCCTGGCTGTTACGTACGAATATGTGCTCACTTCACTTTGCTTCGCGTGGCTTCCTTTCGTTATGCAATTGCGTTATGTATTATGCCTTTTATGTACGTTCCTGTTTACCGCTTTCCTGTATTTGCTTGTGAATTTTTTTTTGTTCTCTCTTTTTTGTTTGTTGGATAGCGGGTGGTATCGTTATGATGCGTGAAATGTGAATATTAAGTACGTGGCACAATAAAGGCTTTTACATAATTCATATTTTTATTTATATAAAGAAAGGGCAAGAAAGAAAGCAAAGGAGCAAGGAAAGAAGGGAAACACTTAACTTTTTTAAGGCGCGTAAAAAAAAAGCACAATTTACATGGCGAAAAAAAAGGGGAAAAAATGTTTACATAATATAATGTACGTATAAAATTACGCGCAGGCTATACAATACTGTACATGTTTTTACAGAATGCTTTTTTTTTTTTTTACCCGCTAAGGCATGTTCGCACAAATCCGCAAGAATACAGAATTGATAAACCTTGGAAAAATGGAAAGGGGAAAAATTAAAAAAAGAAAAAACAACAAAAAAAAGCAAGTGAATAAACTGAAATGAAGCGAAATGGATACGAAGTGATACGAAATGGAAATGAGGCGCATTGACGAAAAATGATACGAAGTGACGCAAAATGAACCAAATGAGCGAAATGTGGGGGATATGCGCATAAGAAATGTTATATAAGGTGAAACTCATGATTTGTGTACCATGGGATTGTCACCAAGCTGAGTTTTCACTTTGTGTTATATATATAGCCCCCATACCTATTTGGAGCTATTCATTTTTTTTTTTTTTACTCCGTCAAAGTAAAGGTGTGAGGGGGAGGGGCCATAAAAAATTCATTACATATAAAACCCATACACTATGTTTTAATATGAATTACATATTATACATGAGTGAAAATGTGCCGAATTTTTTTTTTGTGTCACACCTTTGAGGAATCCTTATCGCCACAAGTATAATATGATATAGCGAAATAGCATCCCCAACACAGGGGTGGTTTAACAATTGCGCCTTATGCGTGCGGCGTGTATGCAATATATAACACAAGCGCTCTGCATGCAGCCCGCTAACTTGATATATGCGTGTAAAATAAAAAATGAGAGGGGGATGGGTCACCAATATTTGTATAGGACCTTTTTTTTTTTTTTTTTTTTTTTTTTTTTTTTTTTTTTACGTTATCAACACAGGATGGAAATTGGCATGAACAAATAGCAATTCTTGTGAAGAAGCGTACTGCCACAAATATGTGTATTCGCATGTATTGTCACGTATTTATGCACGTACAATATGCATGCCAGGTGGGGGAGCCCATAAATTATTTAGGACCCACGCCATGACACGATGTGCTTGACCAATATAGGGGGAAATGCCATTGAGCCCCTGCACGTTCTCACAAAATTGTGCGAACAACACGCATATTTTCTTTTACATACCAAAGGGGGGCATTTATGACCACCAGTTTGTTAAAAGTAAAGAGGGGAACAGGT